AATAATATTGTATTATATTATAATTTCATCTTGTGTATAGGAGAATTTCTTACGAACTGACATCCATAAAGAGTAAAATTGATTAGTCAAAATTTTAAATTACGAAAGACGAATAGTAAAATGAAATGATGTTGAATTTCAAAAGCAAAAAGTTTGCATACTGAAACCCAGGAAAACAAACGGTGGCATGGCACACCGTTACATAGTAATCTTTAATTTAGATATAATCGAACTTTTTAATTATATAGTCTAGTATTTAAATTGCTTCATAATTGTTTATCATAACTTTGACATTGTAACTTACTTAATCACAAAATCAAGTCTTTTTAAAGCTATTTTTTATTAAGAAAACTTAGGAATTCATCTTGATGATCATTTTGAACCCCCTGTTCCGTACCTATAAACATTTGATTTTCCCAGGTTCCTTTAACAGACCTAAGGTATTTAACAGTTTTACGAATGCTCTTCTTAATAGTAGCAGAAGTCGATGGACTGTGTTGGTCAGAATACTGAGTGATATCGCTCAATATTGTGATCCGTTTACCAGGTGGAACAACCTTAACATTTTCGACAGTAGCATTAGTTACACTCTTATACATTTTATGTAGTTGCATATGTTTATTGTCATGTGTGCAGATTTTGTTTGTACACAAGAAACAGCTTAACTGTCTAAACTCCAGAAATTCGGATTTAGAGTTCCAGATTACTTGGTGTACTAACATAGTGCCCTTAAAAGGTGATATGTCATGTGGAAGACAAATATGCTTCTCTAAAATTTCGTGTTCCTCTACCACTCTTATCTCCACATTTTTTACATTTTGCGCGAATTATTTCAACAAAAGTTGCGATGTTTCCTACGTCACGTCCACACTTAACCTGATAATCGGCAGTCCTCTTAACTACTGCCCCGATGCCACCTGGCGCGCCTTTACCGTGGCCAGTTTCCTGATAATTCCATGTTACTAATTTTAAAGACGGAAAGTCATTGGAAAGTTGAGTCATTAAATAAAATATGTGTTTATTTCTGTACTGAGCCGTCGGACTATCAGTTAAAATGTGTACAGTGTTAATGTCTGAACATTTTTCAAATGCAAATTCTAAAGCTCTATTTAGGAGCGCCCAGACTGCTGGTGCATCATGCCGTGTGTTTTCGCTGACCGTGCATAGAGAATAATGAACTGTTTCTCGTCTTTCTTTCAAATATATCACTACCGTATGAAGAGAGACCTGACCTCGACTACCCCCGAAATGTAAGCTCTGTATCTCTTTGCCAAATTTGTAACTGTAGTTCTCCGAGAAATCCATGTGTAGCAGCACTTCGTTAGGATTTAAAGTTTGAGGATGTTCGCGGTATAAACAAGGAACTTCGGTAGTTTCTGCTCTAATTTTTGAATAAGATCTTTAGGTTTAATTTTTATACTACATTTTTTCACTATGTTTATTTCTGAAGAGCCCACTTTCTTTTTATCTCTGCACCATTCATGATACTCAATTTCTTCCAAATTACTAAATTCTTTATATGGTATAGGTCTATTTTTGCAGGTTTGACAATTTCTAGAAACACACTTTGAATTATACTTGTCGCGACAAATAATATCCAGCATATCCATAAAATTCGCAATGTCCACAATTTTCTTATTTTTCAACGCCAAAATAATTAAATCCATGTTTACATGTAACAAACATGCGCAAGTTTCTCTATCATCTCGTGGCAAATATACCCAAAATGGGCGTAATCTTGAAAAGTGCGTTAGTGCGTTATGATGGTTATAACATGCGAGGCGGAATTTCAGCCCGAGCCGAAGGCGGGGGCGTAATTGAGCCGAGCATTGCGTGTTATAACCAATACGCACGTATATCGTACGACGTTTTTTAACACATTTGCGAGGAAACAGAAAAAAACATTTTATATTTTGTTCATTTTTAATTATTAAAACAGTTAGTGAAATTACAATTATTAAAATGATACGTAGTTGTAGTTGGTGTTTTAATTATGTTATTATTACTATTCATAAAGTCATTGTTTTGTGTTAGGGTAAATGTTGGAGATGACGAAACTTCTTGAAAGGCGGCAGAAGAGCATTGTAATTCGTCATTAGTTGTAAATAAAAAAATATTATCAGTAGAAGAAGTGGGGCGCGGCTCAGGGCAAAACTTCTTCGTTTGTGGTTCCAAATTTATTGCCTGAGTTATTTTGGCACTTATATTTGCTTTGTTTTGGATGGAATCTTCTACATAAGATTCTGCAACTGCGTTAGAACGCCACCCGCCATGCCGCTTTAAAGTCAATATATCAGCTCCCGAATCAGCAAGTAATGTAGCTGATGTTCTTCTGAAACTGTGCCCTGTATAAAAATCAGCATCCGGCAATCCTAAAAACTTGGCGACTTCCTTTTGCATGGCACCGAATTTATTTATGCCAATAGGTTGCGCAGTACATTTACCTTTTTGGTAATTCTGAAAGAAATGATTATTTTTTGCCTTAGTCGTACGCAGAGCTTCATATTTTTTGACCACGTCATAAAATGGGCCGTCGATAATAAAAGATCGGGGTATTTTGTTTTTAGTGTTTGGGATTTTAACTAAAAGCATTTTGCCTTGATTTTCAATGTCATTTGGTAATATTGTGAAGCTCTTGCCGTCTATATGCACCATTAATACCAAATATTAACGCAACCTGAAAAGAAATAAAAATGTGTTAGATAAGGTATAGATAAGGTACTTAGCTTACAGACGGTCGTTAAAAAAAATGTAAAAGAGTATGTACAATAGGTAGATCAATACATAAAATAAGGAGGCAAACTGACCTTTGTAGCTAGGTACTGGCTATCTGGAGCATCTCTTAGAAACTTTTCGACGTCAGTTGATGACAATACCTTAGATATTTTTTTTTATAAACCATCAGAGCTCCTCTTTAAAAATGCAATGAGATTTGAATATAAATTAATATCGACACCATTTTTCATCTTGAGGGTACTTTTCAGCATAGAAAATGTTGTCTACAACGAGCTAGGCTTATATATACTAGCTAGTACATTAAAATCAATGATATTAATATGTCTAGATACGCAATACATACCCAAAATGTGAAGCTACTAAAACTAAGACGTTTGTCTTAGTTTTTTCGTTTTTCATTTCAATACTCATTCAACTCCCGCCGAGAAAGTACAAAAAAATGCTCCGCAAAAACGAAGAAAAACAGTGGATAAAATACGATTCTCTTTCACAAATACAAATAATACGAAAGAATATTAAGTTTCACACTTAAGTCATTAACATTTTTGGCAATAAAAACAAAATTAAAGCTAGTTTATAAAATAAAAATATTTAATTTTCACAAATAAAATTTTGACATTTTATCGTCAGTGTTGCCATTGCTATTCACTTTCAATTTTCCCCACTATATGGGAGCCTTTTCTTTTTATTTTACGTGGCTTTAATTTATCTAAATATCTTCTTTTAATTAATTATATTTAGGCAACTGTGCAAATTGTGTTGATATTTTTTTCATACACGCACACAGATGCTAAAGTGGTTTAAATTTTTTAAAGTTAATTTAATTTTTTCAGGGCGTGGAATTCGTTAGTTGTAGAGCTACAACTTGTGAAAATACGTAAAATTGAACCTTTGTTTGATTTTTTGTTAACTTTAACAAATGTTTTTCTTTTGTAACTGACTTTATCAAAAACAAAGGGATTTATATGCACAGAGCCTACTTTCGTGATTGTTTTTTTTTCAAAGTTTTTTCAAATAAATTTTCAAAGATACAATATTTTTCTAATTGATTTTATACATATATCTACATTATTTGTTCATTTTTTCATTCATCATAATGGGTGAATTTTCGACAGCTGGCAATACAATATCAATTACCCATTTTTCCGTTCATTCTGTCGCTCGCACATATTCTGTCTTTCTTTAATATAAAGTTTAATCGTAGATATGAGGGAGACAAATATAATAAATCTATATATAATTTATAGTTTAAATATTATTTGCAAAGCTACGTCCTGATTTCGGAAAAGTGCTACGCTTTTTGGCGCGTCTGTTGTATGGGATTGCTTCTCTAGTTATTAAACTCATTGATTAAAATACGCCAAAACTACATTTTCGGAAAATGACGGCATTTTTCATGTTTTTCTACTTCAAGAAATTTTTATACGTGGTTATGTATCTGTCTTTGGATATTGACGGCAGCAAACTGTCACATGCGGTTCGCGCTTCTGTTAGTATATCCGGTGGAGTTGAAGTAATATATTGCTCTTCTTCATTATTGAAAGTTGTCATTTTTAGATATGCACAATAAAAGTACAAAGAAAAAAAAATTGAGAAAAATGGCGCGAGGTTTATTTTCTGCCGTAGCTGCGTGAAAATGTTAACAAAGACGTTAAAGCATGCAGCCAAGTTTTAAAATTACCGAATAAACTCATTTTTTTATTTTAAATAAACTCAATCTGTGAATGTACACTGTTGCTTTCCCGCCATTTTAACAGCGCTAGCGCTGCCTACTGACTGGCGCCGCGCGGCGATTAGTTCGAAATTTGAATAGCAACAGCGCACGAAATGGCAATTAATACTGTTATGGAATTTGTATGGACTATAACTTAACTATTTGCTTTGGTAAACACGCGTTTTTTATGACCCGCTTTACGTATTTAAAACCGGTGGAATTACATCAGCTTTACGAGCAAAGGTGTTAAAAATAAATTGAAATCGTAGTTTATTAACCCCGTTACATTGTAATATGTAAAAATCCTTAGCATTTACTTAATTATTACGATAAATCACAAGCAATATGTAGTTATATCACATGAACTTATTTTCATTTAACTTATAAAACAAGGCGCAAGGACAGAATTAAATATAATATAAAAACAAAACTTTAATTTATTAATAGCAAAATAATAATAACAAGGAGAATCAATGTGACAAACATAGAATTGAAAATGTCTAATGAAATCAAAGATGTAACTTTATTTGTATTACAGTCTTCTTAGCATCTAGTTAATATGACGAAGACTAAGGGCGAGGCCCCATAAGTGCGTTACGAGGCGAGACGACGACGCGGGTGGGAGGGTGATGCGCTGATAAAACAGGAGATTAGACGACGTTGTCGTGGCATCAAAATGCATAGTTTCGTTGCGACGGCGCCACGCAACGCACTAACGGGGCCTCGCCCTAAGCAAAGGAGGTAAGTCATTTTATGACGAGACCACTTGGGGGGCATCCATAAGTTACGTCACACGTTAGGAGGGGGGGGGGGGAATCATGAATTTTGTGCGACGTAATTTATGGACGGCCCCTTGTGCATGAATACTTAAAAATCTAAAATCATAAATACAGTCATGCCATGTAATTTCAAATAAGGAAAATATATGAAAACAAAACTTAATAATAAATAAATTAAAAATATGTAATCGCACAGCCATAATAGGTGTTTGTTTATGTATCCAAAAAATATTAAAATGAGATTAAAAATCTATAACGAATTATTTATTGCGATCTATCATTTGGTTAGGACAATAAGCATACTGGAAATCTAGAAGGCATTTTCGATATAACGTATAGACGTCTTTATATTCTTCCGAAAATGGTAAATCGCTTAAGGAAGTGAGAGCCTCAATAGCCTTATTGTAGATCCGGGACATATGTTTTATATCGATTTTACGCACTGCATCTTTTGGATTTAATTTATGGTACATTAGCATTTGTGCTTCAGAAGGTTGTTTTTGAGTGGTCCAGGAGACTCCCCTACATAAATGACACAAGCAGATGATACCATAACTAGTTAATAGGCGATCTTGTCTGGAGAGTATCATGAAATCCAAGTGATGACCACTGAAATCAACAAAAAATACATAAATTATTTCTCACATTTTTATCACACATTACGTCAGTAACATTCTACTATTTACTGTGAGTAGCTCGGTGGCGTAGTGGATAAGCGCCGCGGCCCGCGATCGTAGTCGTTAAGCAACTTTCGCAAGGGTCGGTCACGGGATGGGTGACCCAAAAAAATTATTATCTCGAGCTACTCTATGCTTCGGAAGGCGCGTTAAGCCGTTGGTCCCGGCTGCATTTGCAGTCGTTAATACCCTCCAATCCGCAATGGGCCAGCGTGGAGGGTCATGGCCTATCCTCCTTAACCATCCATAAGGAAGGCCTGAGCCCCTGCAGTGGGGACGTAAAAGGGCTGGTGATGATGATTTACTGTGAATAATAGAAGCAATATTAACATCGTCGAAATTGCACTACTTCTGTTTTTTTTATAAATTTGAAGCAGATTTCCTAAGACACGAGGAGTCTGTATTGTAAATATCCATTCATTAATATTAATGTCGTTATGTCCCCAACACTAGTAACATAAGTACTATAAATAGCTGCGTAATATTTCCGCACACTTTCGCTGTACAATTCACTAGACAGACGCGTCTCACTCAGTTATCGGTGGTAAGAAATAAACTTCTATACATTATTATAAATCAGCATTTAATTTATTACAAGTCCACCAGCGGTACTACAGTTATTAACAACTAGCTTTCGCCAGCGACTTCGCCCGCGTGGACCCTAGGGAAATAATTAGTGGGATAAAAAGTATCCTATTATCTATGTCAGCTAATACCCTATCTGTATACCAAATTTCATCAAAATCCGTTCAGTAGTTTCAGCGTGATTGACCGACAAACATCCAAACATCTAAACAAAGAAACTTTCACATTTATAATATTAATAGGATATCCAATAAATGAATATTTACCTAACTTATTTTTAGGTTTTTCAATTGATTTTCAAGAAAAAAAAAAAGAGAATAGAAGTATCAGTAGTCAATAATAATTAGTAAATAATAGGTACTCTTACATATATGAAATACTCAGTTCCTCGGCATGGGCCAATGGTTTTAGAGCTAGCAATACGATACGGTTATTTAATCCCAGAGCCAATACATTTGGATTGCAACTATGTGGCATTTTCCCAATGAACGGGTATACACCTGCGCTAGTAATCTGTAAGTCTGTTTTATTTTCTGCTACAAATGAGACACTCGAAGGTACTTCCAAGGTAGGTACGTGTAGGCTCATATACATGAGTACTTTACTAAAACAAAGCATTGCACAAATCGTATTTTCAGATTTTTTTGGAAAAAATGAACCCATCTCCAATAAGTACCAAACGACTTTAGCAACTTCCGCACTTTCATTGAATATTAGGCCATGAGTAAAATGTTTATTTTGATGATAGTTTAGTAAAGAAAATTTATTTTCTCCATTAAAAATTTCGTCAATGCTACTGTGTTCGATTCTATCTAAACCTAAAAGCTGTGATGATTTGATAAACTCCTTCCAGGACTTGAATGAATTTTTCAATTTTATTGCTGCTTTGACTGTTGCAATCATTTCAATCTGATCAATCACTTCGCATTCAATACTGTGGTACTCAGCCATACATGTACGTTTGCAATTTTCGTTACAAAACAAGGCAAAACAACAACCATCGCACGGAATCAAGTTTGGACTGATCTTTTGACAGTAATGGCAAGCTGTGAGCGTAAATTCATTTTGGATTACACTCACGTATGCCTGTTCTACTGCGAGGATTGTTCCAACTTTTATATTCTTGGCAGCAATCACTTGTGGTAATCCCGATTCCATAATAATATCAATATCAGTACTGGCACAGGGTATTTCGGGATTCCTAGGAAAATCAAAGTCAGGAAAACCTTTGCGATTTGAAAATCTGTAAACATAAAGATACAAAGTTATTGCTCTATCAAATTATTAAAATTAAATACTTAGGAAAATAAGACATATTGGTTTTGGAAGGTTAACTATACGAAAATTCTACAACCAATCTTGAACTTTTATTTATAAACAGGATAATTCTTACAATTACAACTGATTGGAGAATACCAGATTATCGATCTGTGATTGCAGTTTAAGCCACGTTCACAAAGGCCAGTGATTGGATGGGTGATCATTTTTATTTACATTACTAACACAACAGGACAAGAAAGGAAAGGACAGGAGAAGTGAGGAGAAATCAGTCGGATTGACGCGTTTCATTTAGTACGTAAGTACAACGTGAAAAATGTGCTGTTGGGCCGAGACCGATACCCGAGGGTAGCTCAATGGTAAAAAATAAATTATGAAAATGGGCGACAACTACGAGCACTATGAACACCGGAATTAGCTTGGTTGTGACGTCAAAGTATGCGATTAGAGATAAGACATTTCAATCAATATGGATTTTGAGTAACTGATTCTTATTAAATTATTAATCGATTATAAGTAATCAATTTTGTTTTAGTATTATTAACTTTTTTATACCACATAAGCGGTTTACAAATTCGTGATAATTTTAAAGTGTAAAACATCATTAAAACTATAAATTGTTTTTTTTTTGTTTTGTAACATAATTACTATACATGTACATTTTTATCACATGTGCTCTGACCAACAGCATTTTGTTTGACTAATCAATTTTTTTATTAAAAGGAAAAAATGTTAAAAAATATTTACTTACGTACGCTTTATTCTAAAGTAACAATGTTTATAATAGAATATATTAAATTTTATTAAGAACATTATTTTTAATCTTCCCTTTAAAATAAATAATCAGATACATTTTTCCTATTATCATAAAAATAATGAGGGTGATTATTTTAGTTAAAAAGACATCTTAGAATATAAATAGTAAGTTCCAATAAAAATCTGCAATTTCTTGCTTTAACTCCTAATATTTTCATTATATATATTTTTTAAATATATCTTAAATCATGTTCTAAGTAGGTTATTCTACTTTTATTGAAATAATACTTGTTAATGTTTCTTTAATATAAAACAAATGTTTCGGTAAAATAAACATGTTTTATTGCCTTAAAATTAAATAAAAAATTAATTTTTGTCATACCTGCGAAAATGCTTATTCATGACGTCATTGTGATATTTATTTAGTACACCAATTTTTTTATTTGCTAATAAAAGGACTTAATAATTAGGTACTTTATTACTCCCACATAATATCTGGTTTACCCTTTAATGATAATTCCTCTAGATCAGGAACCATTGCTCTAGTGATTATTCAATATAAAACATGCTTTTTTTGAAAAACAGCAATAGTAATATTGTGCTGTTTGCATCATCTTCAAAAGAATTGAATACAATGATTAATGAATTGGCTAAGAGAAGTAAAGAGGCCGGGCTTCAGTTAAATTATGGAAAAACCGGATTGACAAATGGACCTAAGGATATCATAAATGTGGTAGATAATGTGATAGAATATAAAGAGGACTATATATACCTTGGTCAAGTAATATCACCACAAGAGATAATAAATAGAGAAATAGAAAGAACTGTAAATGCATGGAAAAGTTACTGGAGCTTAAAGGAAGTAATGAAGAATAAAGATATCCATATACAACTAAAAAGTAAACTTTTTAATATATGTATATTGCCTGCTCTGATGTACGGAAGTCATACCTGGTCCTTAACCAACAAAAATGTCAAAGCTTTAACAACCTGCCCACCCACAATGGAGCGCAGTATGTTAGGAATAAAAAGAATTGATAAACTCAGAAATGATATAATAAGGAAGAGAACTAAAGTTCATGATGTCGCTGTGAATATCAAACAGTTAAAGTGGAGATGGGCAGGTTACGTGATATAAGGAATAGGGAAATTGAGCGAAAGAGTAATTGCATGGTACACAAGAAATGGAAAAAGACAAAGAGGTAGTCAGAATAAGAGGTGGGCTGATGATTTCAAATCAATTGTTGAAGTGACCTGGAGTAGAGTAGCCAGAGACAGAAATGAGTGGAAGAGGCTGGAGGAGGCCTTTGCCAAATGGCAAACAGAAAGTCACCAATATTAAGTTAAAAGTTATTCAACAATGTACATTTGAGTATTTATAATTCTGGAATAAAAAGCTAGAAATAAGAAATAAATTAAAACTGTAATATAAAAACTCCAACTTTAAACTACACCATTTCACAAAGAAAGGAATAATTAAATTAATACAATATTATTAATCTGTTTTTGAAATTGAAATAATGGGCATAAAGCAGGTGAATAAACTCATAAAGCAGGTGATTAGTATAAATATTATAAATTATTTATAAGAAATACTTAAACCAAATTTCTGTCACAACCTATTGATTCTTCAGTCCCCGGGGATGTAGATGTACAAGTAAGCAGTGCAATAACAATGCATCTGCCATGCCTGGGAACTGACCTTTAACTTACCTCACTTCTTCTACAAGTTTTTCCTTCCAAATATTGGACTCTGCTAACTTTTTCCTCTTCATTAATTTCTCAACTATATGAGAGGGACAGTCAAAAGCTATGCTCATTTCAATATCTTTGAGACATGCTTGATACAATTTTATAGTATATAATAGTGCTGATCGATTAGCATATGCTATTGACATAGCATTTGTCCCTTTAGGCGCTGATAGCAAAGCTTTATTATAAGATTCTAATGCTGTTTGATAATTAGCTTGTTTATAAGCATTATTGCCTTGATTACGATATTGATTAGACATTGTTTCACATTTACGCTGTTTCTGCAAGGGTGGAAATAAGTTCTTTTCTTTCATTGCATTCATTGTGATCATCACTGCCTGTCCCATATCTTCATTCCTGATTGCATCATATATCCGCATATCGTTGTACAATCCAGAGCAAAGCATTTTTCTGAAAATAAATATTTTTGAAAACCAAGTTAGTTACAAAAGACGTTTACAATTACCGAAACGTGAGTTTGGAAGCTGGACCAGTTTTTATGAATATCTGTATATATTAACTCACGATTTAGATTCTTTTTCAGGTCTCTATCTGTAACTTTTAACAAATTAAAAATATATAATAAATACCCAAAATAATTATAGAAAAATATTGAAAACAAGGCGGTTAGGGACACAGACTAACAATATGTTAGCGTTAGGCGATTATTACTAAAAAAAATGAATTAGTCGATTGTTTAGCTTAGTCGATAAAAGTTGATTACAAACGATGTTGTTCGATTGTTAATATCAACCAAACCTTGCGGCGGCAATGACACGCGGCTGTTACCATATTTACATTATCGATAAATTTCTAACGCAGTGACATTTTACTATTTTGTTTTTTTTTTTTTTATCGGCTCGCAACCTTAAGGGTTCGGAACCACCTTCCCATCAACGGAGGAAGGAGGCGGTGAAACCTTCATTGGATACCCCACGGCCGGCCGTGAGGTTATGTCAGACTCCTACTGACTAAACGCCGCCTTGGACTATTGGTTGCGTGCCCTGAAGGGGCAACGAACCTTCATCGGAGCGACTGCCACCCCGCAAGGGGGGGGACAGCGCAGACGTCGCTATTCCCTTACATGAATAGTGACGTCGAGATGTTAGCCGTTAACCCCGGGGGGCTCGGCTCATCGGATTGAAATACAGCTGACTCCCTGAAGGGGAACGATCAGCCAGAGTTGATGGGGGTTGACCTGAGGGGTCGTGGAGGGCAGAGGGGGGGGAGCTATCACGTACAACCAGAAGGGTGCTACGTGATGCCCTTACAAAGTGCGGCCGTTACCCTGAAGGGATAGCGGTCGAAGTGGACGGAGACGGGGGTTGACCTGAAGGGTCGGAGGGGTAAGGGCGGGATCCGCTTGCTGGGCCTCCAGGAGGAGGTCCAGGTCGGCGGAAAGTTTGGATGGCGGATCGGTGACGACGGATTTGGGCCTACGGGCGAGAGAAGAGGAGGAGGAGGGCGGCACATAGTCCGCGGCAGAACGGATGAGGGGATTGGGGTGATCCTCTGCCGCTTTGAAGAAGCGTTCAGAGGCTTTGATACACCACTGTTGGATAGTGGGAAGATCGAGGTCCCTATGTAGATCCGCATTGCGGATGTAGTAAGGGGCGTTTGCCGCTCGGCAGCAAAAGAGATTTTGCACTATTTGCAATTTGTAGAGGACTTTGGGGTCGGCATGGGCGAATACGGTAGAGGCGTACGTCATCACCGGACGTATGCAGACCTTGTAAAGCGTTCGCTTATTTCGAAGGGACATTTTACTATGTCGGCCCAGCATAGGGCTGAGTCGAAATAGAAAACGTCGAGCTGTCTGTGTGACTCTATTGACGTGAGGAACAAAGGAGAGCCTTTGATCGAGCGTCACGCCGAGGTATTTGGAGGACTTTTGCCAGGGAATGCGTTTACCTAGCATTCTAGGCGGAGGGTATTTGGGAGGAAGGCGACGTCGCTTAGCGTCGAAGCAAACTGCGGAAGATTTTTCCAGGTTCACTTCGATTCGGCATTTGCGAAACCAATCGCCTAAGGCATCAATGGAAGATTGAAGCCTGGGAAGGATGTTGGGTAGTCATGAGCCCCTGTAATACAGAGCCGTATGGTCCGCGAAGAGAGAGAGTTCCACTCCCTTAAGGGGAATGGGCATATCGTTTGTGTACACAATGTACAGGAGGGGTGCAAGTACTGAGCTTTGCGGGACCCTCGCGATGATGGTGCGGGGGGAAGAGAGGGTACCTTCGTGTCTGAAACGAAAGGTGCGGTGTTCGAGGAAAGAACCTACCAGACGAATCAGTCGTAAATCCTTACGACTGGTACCAGACGAATCAGTCGTAAATCCTTACGACTGGTTCGTCTGGTAGCTTCTCATCGTCAAGCTACACAGACTGAACCTATCCAGGTTCAGTCTGTGTAGCTTGATGATGAGAGCTGCGTGCCAAATCTTATCGAAAGCTTTTGTTTGCGAGGGAAGAAACTGCTGGAGATGTACTCCACTATGCGGTGAACCTGTTGGGGATAGGAGTGTTTGGCTCTAAAGCCATATTGGTGGGAGATCATGAGATCCAGTTCAGGATTGAAGAGGTGTTCCCTCATGCGGGAGAGTATACACCTTTCCAAGAGTTTCCCTAATGCCTTTAGGAGGCTGATGGGGCGGTGGCTGGAGGGGAGGTTGGGGGGTTTCCCCGGTTTGGCATGCCTATTACGATTGCATCCTTCCACGCGGTTGGAAAGTAGCAGAGATCGAAACAGGCATTGAAAATAAGAGTGATCAGAGTAATGACCTCTGAAGGGAAGAAATTCAGGGCCATATTGGAGATGCCATCGGCACCTGGGGACTTTTTGGGTTTGAGATTTTTTGGAGTAATTTATTTTCTGCGGGTATTTTTAGGGTAATAGCAGGTAATAGCTTGAAAGCTTTAACGTTTAATAGCATATTATTTAATCAACTCTCAAAGACAAAAACTCTCAGTTTGGTGCTTCTGAGCGCAACAATAATGCAGTATTAACGCAAATCAATTTCTTTACCTGTCTTTTTTTCGATTGTGTCTGTTCTCTGTATCCTAAATGTGGTTGGAGCTTGTTGGAGTAAATATTCTGTGGTATGTTTCTTGTGAAAGCTTGTGTGAACAAGGTGTGAAAGGTAGTTGCCTACTTACTCTATAGTTGTGAAAAATGGCATAAACGAGTGAGCCCGATCGCGCTTAATATTTGCATCTGAACTGAAGCTGAATCTTAATCGGAACACGATTTTTATAACATGCGGCGATTACTGAACCGAAAAGCGGCGTCAAAAATTAAGATTTTTTTATAGGTACTAAAAATACACATGATTTGGATGGAGGGGGGGTTATAGTCTTAAGCTTACCATGTATCACCAAGGAGGAGGGGGGGGGGGGGGGTTAGAAATTGATGAAAAAAAAAGAGCTTTCTTTCTTTATTCAATTGTAAAAAATAAACTTTAATAAGATTTTATGACGGTTAAGTAATTTTTAAGTAACTTTTTCACAATTTTTTGTCAACTTACTCCAATTGTCTTTTCTTTTGAATTTGCAATGCTAGAAAACAATGTTTATCGCTTATAAAAAGTGAGTTGTGGGTCCGTAACTACCTCTCTAAAGGTGGGTGATTTTTATAGGAATTTGTTGAGGGTATTTTTTCAAAAATATGCTTATTCTAGGGTATACCGACATAAAGTCTGGGGTAACGCAAAAAATGACCTGGCAACACTGCCGCCAGGCGGCTTCATTATTCTGTCGGTATTTTCTGGACGATCAGTCGCCGCCGACCTTTTGCGCTGGAGTGTTGTTGCGCATCGCCGCCGACGCATCGCTGCGAAGCGTCTTTTTTGTCGATTTATGTTTTGTTCTAGTGCATTTTTAACTGAATTTTTGTTAATAATGTACTAGAGTGTTCGTCTTGAGTGTTAAGTTTAGTTTAGTGAAGATTGTGTTTAGTTTTGTGTGAAATGTGATGTGTTTTGCGCGTGCATGCAGAGGCATTGAAAAGAGCGTGCTTAGCTCAGTCTTCAGAGAGGAAGTGGACATTTTCAGCATCGACTATCATTATGATATAGGTAAATAATTAAATTAAATTAATGTATTTCGCGGTTCGTTGTAATCTGCACACAATCGATATTGCGCATGCGCGTTATAGGGCTGTTAACACTTAGAAATTTAAAATTTTTACACCTCCTATTTTTAAATATTTCTCAAATAAAATGAACGTTTGCATGTAACCTAACTTGAAACTTTCGGCTGTGTCGGTCATTTTGTTCCTCCCAGTATGATTGGCGCTAATAGGTTATTTAGTTTTCTGTTTAGTAGTCAATGAGAAAGTATTGAAAAAAAACGAAAACACTAAACAACACCTCCATTAGATGGCGACTCTAGCAAAAGTTGATTTTTGCAGGAAAAGTTTGGGCCATACCAAAGACAATAATTTCCGTTCCTTTTAACTAACAAATTGAAAAAATGAAATTTGAAAGTTTGAAACTTAGATATCAATATAAATACGAAAAGGTACAAAAAACTAATTTACTTTTAAACATGAACGAAAACCGAAAGGGTTATCATGGAGAAATCAAAAACGAACAAAAAAGTTTGATTTCGGGAACTAATCTTTTTTTTTAATATTTCCTCATTCACCGATTTTAGGGCACGTCTAGGGCTGATTTGAAAAGTCGGGATTTTGGGATCATAGTCCGGACAAAAAAGCTAATAAAAAAATTCACTTTTCATTAATTAAATTTTAAAATAATAACAAGTATCTACTTTTTGTCAATTAATAACAACACATAATAATAGTAAAACATTTAAACATCTAATATGCCTCCTTATTATATTTTTTATGATATGTGTGTTATTTTATTTTTTATACTTGTAATTTGATTTTTAACTTGAATCTAACAATTTTTGTCGGGACATATTTGTTTTTTTCGGGACTCTGGACATCATACGAAATGTCTAGACAATCCAGATGAATCCCGACCATCTCGCAGCCCTAGGCACATCTAATCAATCGTCGCAATGTCGTTGATACTTATCTACACCATGTTGAAATATCATACAAACAAACCTTGTAGTATTTCTGTTGCCGCTACAACGACAAATACTAAAATCTAGAATAATATAAATATTTAATGGGGCTCCCATATAACAAACGGGTTTGTTACTTCTTTTTTTTGCACGTTTTTGGTACGAAACCTTTCTTATTATTGACTGGATTATTTGCGCGTTTCGCACAACGAGTAGGTGTTTTACAAAATAAAAATTAGTTCTTGAAATCATACTAGATTATTAAGATGTGCACCATCGATAAACATCTTCAAAGATTTGGTGAAAAACCTCTATTTGTCCACATAACTATGCTGTCACAAGTTCATATTTTCTCTGGTAGACATTATAAATAC